ACACATAATTGTTCTTGATTCCTTAATATACATTTTACAGTTCCTTCATAAAAAAGGTTTTATTTATAATAAAAGAGTAAAATTCTTTACCATTCAGTCATATGTTTATTAAAAAGTATTTTGTTTAGTGTAGGCTGAAAGACTTTCGCCTCTCCATTGTAATATGCACAGCGTTATTTGAGTGTTTATGTTATAATTGAAAACGTTAACGATTTTGAAAGATGGCAGTAGCTGTGGTGGCAGCATATCCTGCAGGCCTAGTCCTTCACGTATCCTCTTCCTTTCGCTGTCAATGTTTTATGCAAAATTTTAATTGAAACCTGATAGACGACGATGAACGACGTCGTCTACAAGCCGAGATGCTGCCTAAGTAGCTTAAAATGTGATTAGTTTCTCTCTGAGACAAGCTCTGCTTATACATAATGCGTCTTAATTAATTCAAGATTTATTTCGAGCCTGGCGATAAGACCTCTGCTGCTCTCTACCTGTGACTAAACAACTTAAATTAATATCAAAACTGCCCAAGGAGAATGAAACTAAAAAAACAGTTGCTTAAATATCCGAATAATAATTCCAAATGCTGACAATGGTTGGTATTTATGGCCAAGAGGAAAGGGGCGGCATTGCCATTAGCTAACTTGTTCACATCTGCTTTTACATATGTATTACTTTACAGCTTCTCTTTAGCCCCTGGCCACACATTGAATAATGTCCTCGTCCTCCAATTGGAATGCCGCATCCGAAACTGAATCAGGATCCGAGTGCGATATGAATGTGTGTGTCTTTTTGTATAAATCTGGCTGGCATGTTTAACATTTATCCCTTGCGCTCCTGCTCGTCCTCGTTTTAATGTTCTTCGCATTAGTAGCAAGCTCCACTCCATCCGATATACAACGAGTATGTATGCAAATCTCAGCTGACAATCCTCGGGGCGGAATTTTACCCCAAACTTTCGATGTGGCAAAGTTTTATGCGCTTCATTCGTTTGCATGGTTTCAATTGTTCTGGTTAATGCGTTTGACTTTTGTTTGCGGCTTACTCTATGGAAATATGCGGAAAATATGGAGGAGATTGGCTATGGGGAAAGTTATGTGGTTCTTGGGGAAGGAGAAAAGCTTTAAATAAATCCTAAGAGCTTTAATTAAAATATAAGTGAAGTGACTTAAAAAGTTATCTAGTAAAAAAATTATAAGTAAATTGTACACAAATATATTTTAGAATAAAGTCTTTACCACTTTTTAAATATTTATTCATCCTAAAAATTGTGTATATTATTCTAAATAAACCCCTTAAAGCATTCTCTTTAAACTATAAACCATAAATATATATTATCTTTATATATTTATTTCAATGCATTACATTTTCATCCTCTTTAAAAGAGTATTCAAGCACCTGTTTAACCGCAATTAACTTACACATTCTCTTGGCACGCTTAAGTGCATATCATTTGTGGTGCATATATATCTTGGATTCCTGGCAGCTTGGCTTGTAAACATTCATTCGCACTAGGCGCTTAATTTGTTTATGCCAAACAAACACCACTGCGTAAATAATTAAGAGCTGCCGAAGGATTTTTGCGAGAGGCGAGCAATTAAATTGCAATGCAAATTGAATGCAATCTAATGCCTGGCTGACTCCACAGAAAAAGTCTCTAATAAGATAAGGAGGAAGCGTAATGGGGGTATGGAAAAGTAAATTATGCACATGACAAACTTTGCCCGGGAGCCAAAAATTTTTCGGGGGAGCGGCCAGAAACCAACTTGACACAAAAGTTGATGTCTCAAGTGTGAACTGAAATATATGAGGACATCCTGCGGGAAAGGGACACGGAGGAAAGTGCAGTTTCCGCTTTTGACTGTGCATATAAATCTTAAGACAGTTAACGTCATCATATGGCAGAGTTGGCTCCCAAGGATGAACTTACAATGCATATGCCACAAGCGGAAGGACCTGCCCTCCAACTTCTGCTCCTCCTTCGATGCTGCTGAAAAATCCTTCGGCTGCGGTGGGCGTAACTTTGCTGCATAATTGTAAGGCGGAAGGCACGAAAGACGAAGGACGAAAACGAAAATGTTCGCCCAGCCAGTTGAGGAAACCAATTTGTGGTAATTGTCGTGAAATTGCAATTTCTGCAACTGTAATGGCCCAAAGGAATGACAGAGAGATGCACTGGGATGCTGGGATGCTGGGAGTCTGGTGGAGAGAACCGTGGAGGCAGTGACTCCACTTAAATGAGATTCCTTCCAGTCGAAAAAGGTGAAAATGATAAACTGCCTAGGGCCGAATTAATGCGGAGATTGCGCCGGAATGGCAGCCACGAAAAGCCAATGCAAATGGGCCATAACCCTTAATGAACCAGTGGGTTTTCGCCATTAAAATCGGATAAGAACCTGTATTATTGCTGGAATCTTCAGAATAAAGTAAGATATGTATATTATATATCATAACATATCTCATCTTGCTTTAAAGAACCTCTAGCTAGTTGAAATATTTCAAATTCAGGCCATTCTCTACTCTTCAGCCACCATTGCGAACCAATTTAACGCACATCACTGGCGAGAACAAAAGCGAATACTTGGGAATTTTTTATATTTTTGGTGTTTCTTTTTTATATGTTCGCTGCCCTGGACTTTCCCCAACTCGCTGCTTTTATCAGCGCTGAAAAATCACGTGCGCATAAAACTTTCCAATCAGCGATGCCAAATACAAAAGAGGTCCTTAACAAGCTCCTCGAGTGGGCGAGAAAATAAGGGGGACTCAGGTGCTTGCAATAAGTTTGAACCTCCTTTTGTGTCATAGCCCTTTTCCTTATTCCGTGCCACTCGTACGTATCTTCTCGCTGGCAAAGTTTCAACTTAAAATGGCAAATCCATACAATAAATATATAAAATGTTACTCCTTGTGTCGCACCTGAACTAACCTCAAATAAATTTTCCACATGTGCCGGACAGAGACAAGAGATAGAGAGGGTGCATTGCAAACAGACCTGGGACCTGTGTGCTAGTAAAGACCTATAACTTCCTGTGTATTTAGCACACAGGAGTGCAAAAAACTTACCCCACACCTTGCATCTCCCACAAAAAAAAGAAAGAAACCTGAGATAAGACCCCCAAGCAGGCTGAGTGCGTTCTGAGTGCCTCGGTTTGGGGGTCTCTTCTGGTGCCAACTCCAGGCGAAAGCAACAATTTCCAATCACTTCCCTTGCAGCGACACAATTTTCTATGTTTATACTTTACGACACCTCTGCCCAAAGCGGTGAACCCAGGAGAGGGTGTGTTTTCAAGTGGAATATGCTGAAGTTGAAGTACCCTAAAAATTAAATGTGTTTGATAACTAAATTTATAAAAATAAGTGTGAATTTAGGTAGGCAGAAAATGTTGAAACTTAGAAACGGTGTAGATGTATAAATCGATATTTTACGTAATTTTAGATATTATATTTCAGTGTTGCTATACATCTACTATAAAACAGTACTTACTTAACTAAAAATTTAACAATGTCAAACTATATTTTCCTGTCATATTTCCCCTTTAGTTAGTGTATCGAGTAGTGGTTTGAATGCACGCTTAGTTTGTTTTAAGGAAAATGCCTTGGAATCGCCCCTTATGCGTATACATGTACATATGTGTGTATGTTTTGTCTCTGGAAAACTTTAAAGCAAGTTGGTGGGGCAGTTAGAGGAATGTGGAAAGTGTTGCAGAATGAAAAGTTGCTCCTTCTTATTGCTGCAGTTCGCCAGTTGCACTTCTTGTTGCATTGATTCGATTTGTTGCGATTGCGTTTTTAGTCTTTTGCATGTGCGCTCCCCAAAAAGTTTCACATGGGGACCTACCGAGATAAAGCATAACAATTGCCGTGCACCAAACTTTTCCCTTACAAATGTTCTCGTTTCGATATGAAGGGGGAAAATCGCATATATGGTACATATATATTCGAAAGGCGATTTATTGTGCCATTTTAAAGTTGAATTCCCCTTACAGGACCCAGCTGCTTACAAAGTTGTCCTCTGATTAATTGCAACTCCCTTGCTCGATACGAGGAGTCAAAAAATCAGAAATAACCAACAAATATCACTCATACGCCGGGTGTTCCGCAATTCGGGTTAAATACTCGCTTGTCGATCGTTAAACGGGAAAAGCCAGCACGCACGGTGGCAGCTCATTAACGAATTTAAGCGCCCAGGTATGAGTTCATAAAAGAAAATCCTCCCAAACATGTGTTCACCTGTTGTGGCTTTAAGCCAGGTCAGTGATGCTGCGGGATCTATGATATGAATTTTTCTTAAGATATACAGAAATTTGATTTTTTTTAATTAAATTTTAGAGCTGTTAGCTTTAATAGAGAATTTAAAATTCAATTGAATAAATTCTTGAACAATCAGTTAAAAAAATTAAGCTTTAAAATGGCTTCTAAAATAAACAAAATTAATAAGAAACCATTTTCTCTACTTGAAACAGTTGTAAACCAACTTAGTGACTTCTTTTTAAAATATTTCAACTTTATTTAAATTCAATATTTAGCTTGAAAGCAGCTAGACTATTATTATAGTGTCACCTTTTGCCAACCATAAGCTTTAAAGCTGTTAAGCCGCACACATATGTACCCATTTACTCGCTTTTTTAATGCCATTTTTATGGCGACCATTTCGTTTGCAGCTTTCGTCAGTCACTCAGTCAGTTAGTCATTCGGTCCGTTAGTCAATCAGTCAGCAGCCTCAGATGGGGCAACATTTTTACGGCCCTGAATGAAGTACCGTGCGGACTATAATAATAGTTCCTGCCTGCATTGGCAACTCATTAAGTTGGTGCCTTTAAGGCCCGCGTTTTTGCAGTTGCAGGACCTCTTGACCCGGCTCTTCACATTCCCCACAATTGTTATTTATGTTAATTTTACCACTCTACGCCAGCCCCGTAGTATACGTATTTATTTTATGTTTATTTCCGCAAGCGTTCACTGAAAACATTCCACTCATTTCGCATTTTCCGCTGATGTATTTGCAGAGCGGAAACTCTTCGTCGGCATGCTGAACAAAAAGTACACCGAGGCCGATGTGCGTCAGCTCTTCACCGGCCACGGAACCATCGAGGAGTGCACCGTGCTCAGGGATCAGGCAGGCCAGAGTAAAGGCTGTGCCTTCGTCACATTCGCTACCAAACAAAATGCCATTGGGGCGATTAAGGTGAGTTTTTTGTTTGGTTATATATTTATGTAGTAAAAATATTTAGTAGAGGAACTATGCAAAATCTTGTATAAATATCGATATAATCGATTACAAGTGCTCTAACTACCAAATACCTTTTCTTGAGAGCATAAAACCCAAAACATGCTTATCAAGGGTTCATTGTTACCGGCAAAACTTCTACCCATGACACAAAAATCCATATGCTTCAGTAAAAATTCCAAGAAAGATCAACAGAAGGCAAAAGTAAAAAGAAAAAACTATCAGCTTAAATTCCGATTATCTGCTTTAAGCGCATCATTGTCTTTGCTCCTGTAGCGAGCGTGTGGGAAAAACTGTCGCCATGATTAATTGCTGTGGCGGCAAGAGTCGCGCATATAAAACACGTCTCCTATGCACACACACACAGCTGCCAAAGCAGAGTCACCCACACAGGCACAGCTTCATTCCACAATGGCAGCGACAGCAACAACAACAACAACAACAAAAACCGCATGCAACTGCAAACAGGAAGCAGAAACGCAAGCAAGACGCCGCCTCTGGCAGCGGAAGAAGTCAACGGTAATCCTGGCAGCCAAGTAACCCCACAGGATCCTCCGTTTCCCATGCCATCTCTTTCACTTTTAAGCAAACACACAGCACACACACACACACACACACTAATGCAAGTTTTGTGCCGGAAACAGGCAAAATTACAAACTTCCGACAGCCAAACACACACACATGGCCACATGGAGCGTCCGAACATGCCGTCTCTGTTCTGTTCTGTGTATATTGCACATAATTTGTCGCCTTTTGCAAGATGAATGTTGTTGTGGGCGGACGGCCATTGCAAAGCCATGCATGCACACTGACACATAGGAAAATACACAGATACTGGAAGGCTCTACGGGATGAACGGGATGCGATGTAATCTAAGGATGCTGCCTTATAGTCCAGGAAATGTGCCTCTTGTAGGTTGCAATTCGAAATGTATTTATTTTGAGCCTTGGAAATAAATTAAAGCAATTTAGGGGTACGAGACCTTCTTAAATTTCATAAATTTAACATTTAAATTTCTTTCAAAGGATTTATTTTAGTTTAGACAATATTTTTCAAGGATCATTACTCACAAGTTATCACTGTACCGGCATCCGAGTGTGAGGGCGAGCGATTTTAATGCATTTGAAGTCAAATTACGGGATTCTAGGCACGCACACGCTGGGAATGGGCCTGGGCTTGGGTTAAGGGGCCCTAAGATCCCAAGGATCCAGGCTCTCGAGATGTGTTAAAGCCAAGAAGGAGCCAATGATTTGGATCGAGGCGACTGAAGCGAGAGATGCAAAGTCATTGCAGTCTATTGACGCCTGAAAGTATGCAGCGCCATCAAATGCAATCCAGGACGAAAAAAAGCCAACCCTAACCCAAGCCAAGAGAGAAGCTCGTGCTGAAGCTGCTGGCAGAGTGCATTTAATATTAATGTGCCATGTTTATGGCCCAGCAATTTGTTCTCTGCTGCTGCTGCTACTCCTCCATTAAGTCTCTTTTTCTTTGCGAAAACCCCGAATGAAAGCCAAGAAAAAAGTATGAGTAAGCGGGACGAAGGGCGGAAAATGGGTGGCCAAATGATGATAGCATTTTTCAACGCATGCAGATTTTATTTTTCGCATTCGTCTCGCTAATTTGTCAAGTGGTTTGCACTGAGTCCAGGCCAACTTTGGAATGCGGTTGGGTTTCTAGTGCTCACTCTTGGCCAACGGGTCATTTAACCCTTCTTGTTTTTTGTGAGCTGAGTTGTAGAGACTGAGCTGTGAAAAATGACCGAGGATTAGTAAAGATCTTGAAGGGTGTTCTAAGTAAAAGCTTAAATAAATCCAGCCTGATTTTAACTGGATAGAAGGAGCTTTAAAAAAATAATTGAAACATTTTTTAATTAAAAAAATTTAAAAAAAACATTTTCTTGGCTTCTTTTAGGTGCTAATAAAAAAGATTTTAAATGCAAATAAATATATTTTGCTTTTTAAATGTATTTATGTTATTTGTACTTATATCAATATTAATCCTAACTAAATCAAATCTAAATATAAACTTAATTCAGGTCTCTTTACTTTCCTCAACTTTAATTCCCCTGCCCACCTGCGCTTTTCTCCTTGAACGATGCCTCAGCAAACTTCTAAGCAGAAACTCGCTCGACAGAGGTATTTAGGGGTCGAAAACAGTTTTGATAAGTTTTATGGCAGCCGCTCGACGGCTTACAGCATCAGAATAATGACGCGCACTTAAGCCGCATCCGCATCCGCATGTCCACCCATTTGACAGGCCCCACCCTCCTCCCGAATAGTTTAACCCACACAGCCATTTGTCCGCTTAAGCGACTTAATTTACACCTTTCTGCTAAGCCCGAAAACAAACAAAATGGCGCAGGAATGGCATTTGGGGATGAGATGGGGCGAGAATCGAGGCGAGCCTGGCAACTCTGGCGGCGGCGTCACAAAAACCAGGCCAAACATTTAGCGAAGGCATTTAGGCTGCGGTCTGATGAGGGGAATGTTTCGCGGCGTTCGGGTGGGGGAGGGGTTGGCAAGCCACTTTACTTATTTTCCGGTTTATGTAGACTTTATCATTGAAACTCAGCCGGGACTATGGCTATGACTATGGCGACCCGGGCTCTGAAACTTCCGCTCAATTGTGGCGGCGCTGGCAACTCTGGCCTGCATCCTGCCACGCCCGCAAGCCCCTCGTTGCTCGTGCCGCCTGTATCGTGGCAGCCACCAGAAGTGCTCTTTAATTACATTGACTATAATTCTTGCGGCTCTGGCGCGACTTTTATGGCCGGCGCATTGTTTTGCCTCCTCTCCGGCCATCGCAGCGACACTGCTGCTCTTGGCTACAAAGTAATTAGGGAAATTTCCGAGTTTTAAAACAGGTCGCCATGGTTACACAGCCCAAAGACAGTTTTTCCGAGCCAGGGTAGAATGCAGATGCGACGTGCTTTTGGCAAGCAAGGGTCTAGAAAAATATTTAAGTCGTTGGAAAGGTGTTTTATTAATAAAAATATTATGATATTCTTATTTATTAATGCAGGCACAATTCTTCTGAAAAAGAACAACACTGCGTATGAGTAATATTGCTGTTTAAGGAAATATGTATAGGCTTATAAATATTAAATAAAATATATATAAAGTCTTGAGATTGAGGATTTAACATATTTTTAATTTTAAATAATACATTAATGCAACCAAACAAAATTCTTTTTGAGAAATGATAACACTGCGTATGAGTAATGTTGTTAAAAATATTACTTAAATACTAAAGGAAATATTTCTAGGTCCTGTTTATAGTATTTTTATATAATTAAATATTACTTACTCTTTACCTTTTCAGGCCCTCCACCAAAGTCAGACCATGGAGGGCTGTTCGGCCCCGTTGGTCGTCAAGTTCGCAGACACGCAGAAGGAGAAGGACCAAAAGAAAATGCAGCAGCTTCATGCTTTCTGCGGCATCAATGCACTGACAGGACCCACGGCTAGCGGAGCTTCTGCTGCGGCTGCCACGCCCACTGCCAATGCAGCCACGGCCCTGATAGCCACCACACCCTCAGCGGCCCGGCCGAATCCATCGATGGCCGCCGCTTTGGCAGCAGTACCCCCAGTGCAGCAGGCGGGAGCACCGGCCCAATCGGCTCTCGTTCAGGTGCCCTCGTCCGCCGCCCTCAATGCGTCCTTGGCGCCAGCCCTGCTGGCTAGCAATCCGCATCAGGGTGCAGCAGCAGCAGCGGCGGCAGCTGCCGCTTACTTGGGAACAGACCCAGCGACGGCGGCTCACCTGCAGCTGTACCAGCAGCTCCACGGATACGGACTGAGTCCGGCACACTATATGCCAGGTGAGTGGATGGCGTAAAATTAGAGTTAAAGTTAGGCTAATCCGATAGGTCAGATCCCCCTTGATAATTACCCCAAAGTCCTAATGAAAAAAAAAACCCCTTAGCTGAGATTATACAATATATGGATGAGATAGTCTTAAAAACTAAAAGTTTACAATATTTAATTTATAACTAAAACTCTCTCAACCATACAATTGATTCTATAATCTTCGATTTTAGTCACAGACACTAAACAAATCCACAACGTTGCATCTTCCACTCTATATATATCTTATAATCTATTATCCGTAACTTTCATACTACCTGTCTTTGTTTCCACACATTTGCTCGTTGTTTTCTCCGTGTGTGTTACTCTTTGTTTATCCTTATTTCTTTTCAATCACGCACTTTAAATGTGTTTTTATTGCAAAAAAAAATTATGTTTGAAATTAGTTTAATTTATACGTATACTTAACTTTCTGGATGTTCTCCCATTCATCGCTAAACGGGTCGAAAGAGTTAGTCTACATGTGTGTGTTCTTTAGCATCGATTGAACATAGCAAAACCTATGTTTAAGAGAATGTTGACTGAGCTGTTATTTTGTGTGTGTGGTTTGCCAAAATGAAATAAAGTAATTTTTAAAAGCATATATAATCCGATTTCTGGTTGCTTTCATAAACTCCTTTTGTGTCACAAATGCTGAAATTTGCTTGACATTTAAATAAGTCAACAAGAATTAATGTAAAGGTAGCCAAAAAAGAATCCCTCTTCCCTGCTAACTTCAATTATAACCGACAGATTTGAGTTAGACGAAATGGGGAAAAAATAACAAAAGTGCGGCAAGCAGAGCAAAGGAGAATCCTTCTTCCAGCAGCAACAACTGACAAATAATTAATTTCAATTTAAGCAACAAAATCTGCATAAATGCAGGCGCTAGGGGGTGAGCGAGAGAAGTCCGGAAAAGTTACGGAAAAGATGGGAGAAACCAGGCCCGGCAACTGGAGAGCCTGATGAATAAAACAAAAACATTGTAATAGGATTAAAAGGTGGACAACGACAATGACGGGATGACACGACGATGATGCTGCCACGAGGATGATGACGATGATGATGATGATGGCCCAGACGGTCTCTCAGATTTCTGGCCAACAGTCGCACACGTACAGGGCGTCGATGTAAACGTGTTGCATATGCAGCGCCGCTTCATTAGAATGACCGACGACGTGGCACGCCCCCTCCTGACCAGTCTCGCCGTAAACGTGGACATTTTGCGCATAACAAATCAAGCACAAGGGCTAGAACAAACAAAGGGCAGTGGGAAAGGAAAGGGGTGGTGCAAAATGAAATAAAAGGGGAATCACAGACAACCGAATGTTGAGCGGCGCGTGATGTAATCGCACAAAGCGCAAAAAATCTGGTACTGTAACTTGAACTTAATGGGTAGATAAGATACACTAACCAGGCAAAAAGAATGAAATACAAATTAGACATTTCATCCTTTAATTTCATAGAAATAAATGAATATCATCATGATTTTCTAGCTTCAATTTTATAATAAAATATTATTCAGAAAAGAAAGCCACACCTTATCCCATAGTAGACACATTCAACCAAGTAGCAGGGCATGCGGAAGGGATTCGTACTGAGAAAAAGTGACAAAAGCAGAGGCAAGGCGATACGAAGGAGGAGATGGAGGCCACCAATCCGACCTGACCCCCAAACGGCACTAAATGTGAACGGACAGTGAGGGCAGCTCCTGGGCAGTTAGGGGAACTTAGAGCGACGACGTATGCCACTTGAATAACAAATGACGTTTTTAAATGCCAGATACAGGAGGGGCCCGCAAAGGACTCGACGACTCCGAACTCTGATGGCCAGCAAATGTATGGAACGTGTCCTGTACGCTCCTTCGTTTCGTTTATATGTTTTTTGTGTATAAGTGCTGAATGAGACCGTTAAGTGGATGCGGCGGACCTGTAAACGTTGGCTGATTTGACCAATTTCGGGATCGAGTGTTGACAGAAAAACCATATTTAATTATAGCTGAGAAACAGATTTCTCGGGACAAAGCTATTAACGATAAAAGGAAAATTTTGATAGTTTTCAAAAGAGGAGTTATGGGGAATAATTAAGAACTTTGAACCATTAAAAATGTTTCAAAATACATTTTTTAAATCGATCAATTTACTTTTGACACATTTTATACACATTTTATAGTGGCTTAAAAATCCCTCTCAAGAAGTATAAAATATTTAAAGCTCTAAGCCAAATTTTTACCCACTTATAAAAGACAGTGGATGTAAGTCCGCAAAGGAATAACCACCAGGCAGGAACGTCTTTGTCTAGCATTTTCTCTTCTGTGCTTCTTTTGCCCATTTGCCGACTTGAAATTTTTATAAGTCCTGCCAAAGGCCCCAAGGGCAAAAGGCGCCATCAAAGGTGGCTGAAACGAAGGGCTCCACACACACACACACAAAAACACACACAGAGATATAGTATGCTTTTGCCCCAATAGCCGGGGGCCTGGCAGGTAAACAAATGCAATTCCAATGTGGCAACAGCCCAGCACCTGAAGTTGTCCGCAGGTGAGAACACTTAAAGTTTTATTATGCCCACAAAAAAAAAGGGTGGGCAAGGGAAGAAATGGAGTATGAAGATGGCAAAGGATATCAAAACTACACTCACACACACACACATATAGAATGAAGCTCATTCAAAGAGAGGAAGCAATTTGAGAAATATTCCTTAAATATGCTAGACAATGCCCGGCTCCTTATGTGAATGTCCCTCTTCATCTCTCTTTTCCGCTCTCTCAACCTCTTACCTCCCACCCACACACACACACACACACATGCACACACCTGCCTGCTCTTTCTCTTCCCTCTTCTGCCTCTCTGTGTGTGTGCGTGTTCACAGGATTCTTGTTTTGTGTAGAAAAAAGCTTTCAATATATTGCCAGCGCCACCAAGTATGCAACATAAGAGCAGCCAACGAAAAACATAACGGAAACTGGAAACCGAAGAGAACGCTTTGCTGTTTCCGGTTTCCTTCCGCCAGCATTCTTCTTAGATTTATTCAATTATTTAATGCCATTGATTTACATAATTTTATATATATATTTACTTTATGTCTAACTGCATTCGATTGAATTGAATTTTATGTCTCTGCGTTTATGTTTTTATGATTTTTATTTATTTATGATTTTTTGGTTTCCTTAATACCCTGCATCCCTTGTTGCGTTAAACTACCTTATTATTTATTATATTGAATGCATTTTATGTTTTTATTGTTGATTTTGTATGATTTTAATATAATAAGTTCCTTTATTTTTCTGTTTACTATGCAATTGTATCTTTTTAAATTTTTGGTTTACTCTTTTTAAACATTTTTCTTCGATTTTTTAAGATTTTAATTTAAATTTAATAAATTTTTTAAATTATTTCATTTTCAAGTATTTTAAAACAGACCTTTTTATTTTCAATGCTCAGTCAGTCTTTTTATTTTATTTTTCATAGTTTAATTACTTGTATTTTTATTTCATGTTATGTTACCCATTTTCATTTTGTTTTCGTTTTTCCCCCCTCTTTTGTTTATTTTTCCTCCTCTTTTATTATGTTTTGATTTGTATGTTTACATATTTACATAAAATTGATCGAATCGAAACCCAAACCGAAACAAAAAAACGAAAAAATGTTAAATTGAAATTACTTTTCTTATAATTTTTGTAAATGTAAATAATCCAATTGGGTGTGTGTTTTCTTCTATGTTTTTTATATATAAATATTCGTTGAACATTATTTGGTATGTCTATGATTGACTCTGTGGTCATGTACAATCAATCAACCAACTCAACCAACTCAAAACCTTAAACCATAAAACCAACCAACTCAAAACTGTACAAAACAAAACCAAAACAAAAAAAAATAACTATGGAACTCAGGACTAAATTTCCACCACCCATCGGATAACAGTGCCCACCACAGCCAGCACCCACAGTCACAGTCACACCCATCAGGTGGCGCCGCCGGGAGTGCAGCATCCGCAGCAGCCGCATCTTTATCGGCTGCCGTCGCAGCAGCAGCAGCAGCACCTCTCCCACTTGGCGGCGGCGGCGGCGGCCCATCACCATCCGCACCACCCACAGGCAGCAGCGGCGGCGGCGGCAGCAGCAGCAGCGGCAGCGGCATCGGGATCCCTACCGCCGGGCATGCTCCTGGCACTGGACTGCTCGCCGCTCCATCCCTGTCTATGCAGAATCTGGTAGCCCTGCTAGCCACACCCACTGCCCACGCCCACGCCCAAGCCCACGCCCACCATCCGATGACCATCGCCCATCACAGCCAGAGCAGCAGCGGGAACAGCAGCCTGCACCACCAGCGTTTGGCCTATGCCGCCGCCCAACAACAGCAACAGCAGCCACCTCCCTCGGCGACGGCCTTCAACATGTCGCAACTGATGGCCACGCCCACCCAGCAGGTGGGCGGCGGCCAAACGCTGACCCTGAACGCGCTGTGTAAGTAGATCACGAAGTCATAAATACTCCAAAAAAGAAAGCAGGAATGTCTCATCTTGAGAGCACTTGCCCCATTTAGGTAATCTTTCTACAAATTGCAAAATTTAAATAAAACATCACTTTAAACTTGATATTACTTGAAATGTGTATACATATTTTAATATAATTTTGTAGAACATTCTTAAATCATTTTACCAAATTGGAAAAGTTCCAGGGTTGGGTTTTCCTGCCTATTTTCAAAAATATTTAATTTAATAAACAGATATAATCAATAGTGATTTTTCAATTGAAAAGATATTCATATTTGGAAAAGCTCTAAATAATAATATTCCCTTGACTACCTCATTAATTACCTATATTTTCTGTTCACTGAGTGTATCAATATGTATGTTTCGGGTACGGGTGGTTGTGTTTGTGTATTATGTAAATGTTTGTATGTGTTCTTTTGTTTTGTAATGTAATCAAACAGAGTTTTACCTCTGGCACTTAATCACACTAACTATAAACAATAAAAGGTCCAATAATATAGCCTCCACGCAGCCTGCATGCGCCTATGACAGCGCCCCGCCATGCCCTATCCCTAAATAACTAAAACTAAGCAATCCTATTATATATTTTCTATAACCAATAACCAGAAAAAGTCCTAAATAAACAGAAATTTACGTTTATATTTCGATTACAAACTACTTTTAAATATTTTTGCATAATAAGCTCACGAAAAGAAATATTCAAAGTCATATAAAGAAAATATTTTGAAAATTCTAAAGCTCAATAGTCAATTAAATTCATCTGAATATTCACATCATTGTTGGAGAATTTCCGTCGGCAATCCTAACTTTACTTACTGTCTAAACGTTTCTAATTCAAAATATTTCTTGCTCTTTTATGTTTGCATTTTTACAATTTGCCCATCTTTGTTAATAAAAATAAAATGAATTTTCCTAAAAACCAGCGCAAAAAAGAATTTATAATAAAAAGGGAAACTCTGAAAGGCAGTTTACGCGGAAAGGAATCAAATCTATGACAAAGGGAAATAAACGGCATTCCAAACAACACGTTTTTGATTGCATTTGAAAAAAAAATTGAATTTTTAATAAAAGAAAATAGAAGCAAAACAATATATTGCCACAACATTCCGCAGAGTCAAGCTCAGATTGGATGGCGTAGACCAGGGCTTAATATTTTACATGAAAGGAAATCTCGTATATTAAATGTCTAGATAAAGGATAAAGAGAAATCAGAAATTTAAAGAATGACAATGAAATTAAAAATGAGCCAAGGAAATTTTTAACAAGAACTTTTGATTGTATATTAACTGATAGAAATAAAATATATATATCTAAAGATTACATTTTTATTACGGCAAACATTTTATGAACAACTTTATTTCCCACATACCAATAAATATAATTCAAATAAAATACAAAAAGTTTGGGCAATAAATTTCCAAAAATTTACGATCCCAATTAGCTTTTCAATTAGTAACTTTTATGGATTCTACAAAACATTAAATTAATTTCCCTCTAAAACTTACATTCCCGCCAAATTGTTGGCATACAAAAATGCAGCCAACAAATTTGCAAACGCAATAAAAAAATGCTTATATTAAGCAATAAAAGCACAAAGGAAAAACTAAAGAAAGTAATAAATTTATAGTAGATTATGAAAAAAGCACAGCAGCAGGAGAGCAACGAAAATGTTTGCCGGCTCAATTAAAAAACAGGCGCCATGCGGAGAGGCCAAACAACAAAGGCTAACACATTTTTTTTTCCCCAGTACACAGAACCCGAATAAAAGACAGTACAAAATTTAATAATGAAAGAACGAGGGCCACGAAAAAAAAAGAAAAGATAAAAGAAGGCATAAAACGGTTGAGCACAAAGTGCGAAAAGGACGGCTAAAAATCATAATAAATAAAGGGCCGAAATCTCATATGCGTTAACTCAACTTGGGTTCGTTTATTGTTCAGATATGGTTCTTGTTTATGGTTGATTCTATTTTTCTCTGTATACTGCCGTATTGTATGTCCCACTGTGTGTGTGTTTTGTCCTGTTTCTGAGTGTAAGTGTGTATGTGTGTTTGGGTAATTTGTTCCTTTGGAAAACTACGAATACAAATTTAGCATTATTTTGGGGACTGTTTTTCAATTGATTAAATTTAATATTTTTGTGTGAATATTTCTGATGCGCTTGTCTGTACATTTTAGGGCCCCCGAGTGCCGCCGATCCCTATACCCCCTCCCTGAGTGGACTGACAAATGGAGCCGCCGCCTATGGAGCCGCCCAGCCCCTGACTGCCAGCGCTCTTCAAGCGGCAGCAGCGGGCGTGGCGGGCAAACAAATCGAGGGTGAGTTTTAAAGTGAACATTATTTTATGAAATATTTTCTATAATTTTATATTTTTCCTTACCAGGTCCAGATGGCAGCAACCTCTTCATTTATCACCTACCTCAGGAGTTCATTGACACGGATCTCGCGTCGACATTTCTGCCCTTCGGCAATGTCTTGTCGGCCAAGGTGTTCATCGATAAGCAGACCAACCTGTCCAAGTGCTTCGGCTTCGTCTCCTACGACAATCCGCACTCGGCCAATGCGGCCATCCAGGCGATGCATGGCTTTCAGATCGGCACCAAGCGCCTGAAGGTCCAACTGAAACGTTCCAAGGATGCGGCCAAGCCGTACTAGCTACTACCTAGCTGCTAAGGTGGCCTAAAGGGGCGTGGCCAAGGGCCAGCATACAGTCACAACCAATTCACAACAGACAATGGATAAAACTAGCTTAAGCAATTGTGCCTTTTATTAGCAGCAACGTTCTGAAACCAAAGGACCAATTACAAAAATGTATCTGATAAGTGAATAGAAACCTAAAGCAAATAGAAAAAAAAGGCTTACAAATAAAGTTCTCGAGTGCACAAAAATGAACCGCAAAAACAACCCTTAACCAAAGAAGTAGCTTAAAAGTTGCATCCTTGTTGTAATCACATTTGCTGAAACACAACCATCAACCATTTTTCATCAAGCCCTAATCTAAACTAATCAACGTGGTCGGCAAACAAGTCCTAAAAGTAAAAACTAAAAACCAAAATAAAATCCAGAAATTTGAAGCTGCCTTGTGTGTGGCGCCAAAGTATTTATCAAAGCCAAATAGTTAAGCAAACAAATAAAAAACAAGGGGAAACAAAAAAAAGGAACACAGCAAATTCAGAGGAAAATATAAACTTATATTTTGCACACACGAAACAATTTAGTAAATTAATATTTAGTTAAGAGTTAAGGTAATAAATTTAAATACAAACAAACAAAAAACATTCGAAATTCCGTTCGTAGTGAGAAACATTCAAAGGGTTAGCTACAAAGTAAAGCAAACTAAAACAGACAGGTAGAAACACCTGCAAGAACACCTAAGATGCGAAATATCGTAAACATGAACTAGTAGTTTTAGCTAAATCAATATAAATCTGTCACAGAAAATGTTAACTTTTGGAATGGCTTCTTCATCCTTACATCAATCTATTTTAAATAGTCAATAGTAGTTTTAAACTATATTCTATTCTAACTTAACTTGATTTCAAAGCAAACCCACATTTTACCAACTTTGTACTTAATTTGCACTTGATGTCTTGGAATGGAACAAAAGTCAAACAAATTAAAATGTAAACTATTTAGTCGGTATTTTAAAATAACATTTGAGCGGTGTGTATGAAATTGAAGAAAATCAATCGGTTTCACATATTTACAAATAAAATATGAAATATTTTAAAAATATATGAGTCATTATTATTATTTAGTTGTGGTTAAAATTTAAGATTTTCTAGCTTTACAAAAAGTATTTTTAAAATAGACATTTTTTTAACCATTAAAATCCCTCGAAGAAAAAGGGGTTTATATACCTGCCTGTAAAGACGACATCCATTTGAGACTGTTAAATCGCCTTAAAGAAAGTCACTCTCATCCTGCTGGCATTCGTTTCCTCCGCAGGAACCCCAGAATTCGCTCGTTGAGAGGGATCTTATCACATTTATGCTATTGTACATGCATTCTTTATGCGCCAACTGACAACTCAACTGGCGCTGATAGCTGCAGACCAGGAGGAGGCAAAAACGACGAGGTGGGCCATCCAACAAGGACTGCCATAAATCAAAAGCATCCTGCACTGGCTGCCACTCCCCCTCCTTCTCCAAAGAATCCGCTCCTGGGTTGCAATTCAAATGTTGGCGTTAACGCATGAAATATGCATATGCACGGCGTCGCCGAATGTGCAGCTGTTGTCTGGATCTTGCTTTTTTCCAGGTGCCACCATCGGCCAGTGTTGGCATCAATGGACAGTCTAATGCTAAAATGTCAAACTTTAAAATATATATAAATAAAAAAGCAAAGAAATGGTTAAAGTTCTTTGAACACCAAGGTTTATTGATGAACTTTCTTGGTAGAACTAAAATAAACTATATATTTTACTTTATTATATTTCAATCAATTTAATTTCCAATATTATATCCCCTAAAAAATCCAAAGGTTTGGCTACAAAATAAGCCAAATAGGCAACACTTTCGTTACATCAGCCTTGGTCCGAGCAAGCAATCTTTAAACTTCAAGATACGTGTGCCTGTCGTTGGGGTCAGCTCACAACATTTTTCAGTCTGAAGCTGGTCGAGCTCCTGAAAATACTATATATGTTTTCTCTGTGCTTTGTATAGTGAAATTTTCTTTGGAGAAAAAAATCTAAAATCTATTGAAAATGTCGCAGAAAGATCAAGATGAGAAGCCGCCGGGCGGGCCACCTCCGTCGCCGCGTAGGCACAGGACACCGGCGACTCCGAGCGACGTGACTTCCGCTCCCCCTCCACCTATGGTGGCAAAACGAAGTTTTAAAGACGTGGAAGCACCGACCACCTCTAGCAGGGTCCGTCGCCCAGCCTCGCCTTCATTTATTGGTCCTGGAGTTCAATCACCAAGAAAAATGACTGGAAAGGTTGTGCCCGATTCGGGTCCATTGTCATCGAGAAGGGCAAGTATGCCAGATGCTGGGCCCTCTGACATCTCCAGCCAAGAGACAACGACAGCTCGAACTAAGGCTACACAACCAAAAATAACTTTTCGAGTTGATCCTAATTATCCTGCAATAATTGTGCCCGATTCCGGAGGATTATCATCCCGTGTCAAGGCCTTTGGCCATGTGGCCTCTTCACAACCAACAACTCGAGATACTGGACCCGATTCCGGAAGATCATCATCGCCAGCCAAGACCTCTGGTCCTAAGGCCTTTCAACAAGCAACTATCAGAGAGCCCGGACCCGATTCCGAAAGATCATCATCGCCTGTCAAGAGCTTTGGTCATGTTGCCCCTTCACAGGCAACTACTCGAGATACCGGACCATCGACATCAGGCCGGGTACCCAAATCTAGCCATCGGGTTTCATTTCCAACGTCCTCGGCTCATGAGACCACCACTGATAGAAGTCATTCTCCCCGGAAAACGATTCAGGATGGCGAACTATCTACATCAGCTGAAGGTATGAAAATGGAGGTTTCCACGACACCTCGGAAAACCAGGGCTACACAACCGAAACAAACTGTTCGAGTTGATTCTGCTGCTCCTTCTGATGTTCCTGTAATAACTGTGCCCGATTCCGGACGATCATCATCCCGTGTTAAGTCCTCTGGCCAAGTGGTCTCTTCACAACCAACAACTCGAGATACTGGACCCGATTCCGGAAGGTCATCATCGCCTGCCAGGGCCTCTGGTCCTGTGGCCAATTCACAAGAAACAATTCGAGGTACCGGACCAGATTCCGGAAGATCATCATCGCCTGTCAAGACCTCTGGTCCTGTGGCCTCTTCACAAGCATCTATTCGAGATAACGGACCATCAACGTCGGCCCGGGTACCCAAATCTAGCCTTCGGTTTCCAACGTCCTCGGCCTTGGAGGCCGCCGCTGGTAGAAGTCCCTCTCCACGGGTAACTATTCAGGAGGCAGGACAATCGACAGCCGCTGGAGGTATGAATATGGGGGCTGTCAAGACCGACATCGACAGGGGCGGGCTCAAGCAACGCCTCTTTAAGAAAAAGACAACGGAGACGACCACCCAACCGACACAGGTAGATCGACAGCCACAACGAGTATCAATTATTCCTGGCCAGAACAGGGCCAAGACTACCCGCATCCTTTACACCAATGATGAGGAAGTGCGCGATGCCCTTATTGAGTTCACCGTGTTTATTATATTCCTGATCCTAACATCGCTGGGTAAGTGAAAAAATTTGTAACGAGACTTACGACCTTTACGATGTTGAAGACCATATATCCCCTTAATTTCCCAATATTATTATATATCGAATGTTTAGTCTAATTTCATTTACTTAAAACTTTATTAAGTAACCCTTTTCAACATATTTTCTATACTAGTCACCCTGTCGGTGCGCCACTCGTACATGTTCTACTTCAACGACACAATGAAGAAGCTCTTCACCACCCGTGATCTGGTAATTGCTCCCTCGGTCACCATTAACTTTGAAAAGCAAATCACAGTGCCGGATTGGTGGGACTATTTGATCTACAACTTTTTGATAACACTCCACGGCGACTTGACATTAGCGGATAAGGAAAATACGACGGCGACAACAGAACCACCTGAGGAAGAAGAAGAAGAAGTATCTTTTGATATAAGCCAACCAGGGATGGGGGAGGACAAAAAAAATATGAAGCCAGCAGGAGAAAACTCCTGGGATCCCGGCGTGGACGGGAAGGCGGCCGCTAGTGATGTCCCGAAGCCGGATCAGCATGCGCGTTCGCCAATGGATTTTAAATGGAAGCCGATAGCGGTACCGAGGCCAGGATCCCAACACAAAAGACCGAAGCATATACATAATATAAGTGACAACCATTTGGAGGTAATTAATGTCAACATTTTCAGGTTTATTTGTGACATAATCATCTCTCTAGGGGCGTATCTTTCTGTACGAGAACCTGTTGCTGGGTCCTCCGCGAATCCGGCAAATCCGCGTGCGAAAGGACAGCTGCTATGTAAACGACGCCTTCATCCGGTACTTTAACACCTGCTATGCCGCCTACTCTCCGAGAGCCGAGGAGAAGGGTGAATTCAAGGGAATACCGTACAGGACGATGTCGACCCTGAACGCTGTGCCGCTTTGGACAGTGCTGTCTTTCTACCGTTCCGGCGGGTACGTGGTTGATCTGACCTACGTTAAGAATGAAAACCTGGCTATCATCACCGATTTGAAGAACAATCACTGGCTTGATCGGGGCTCCCGACTCTGTCTGGTGGAGTTCAATTTGTTTAATGATAATACGAATATCTTTCAGAGCTTAAAGTGGGTTTTTGGCGAATCGATATGGGCCCTTTTTGATATTACCAATAATTCCAGATTAATTGCGGAGATTCCGCCAACGGGCGGTGTCATACCCCAGACCCATCTGCAGACGGTCAAGCAGCATTCCTTCTTCACGGACAAAGACTTGGTGATGTCGGTAGTCTATATATTCTGGTACGTCATGGTAGTATACTACACCATTTACGAGATAACTGAAATAAGCAAGTCTGGCTTCAAAAATTATATATTTTCCATTATAAATATACTCGATTGTATTATACTGCTGGTAAGGAGTCTTTAAATATTTCTTTTTTATTATAAATCTTTTCTCTTTTCTTTTTATCCAGCTATGTTACCTGGCCTTGGTTTACAACATTTGGCACACTTTTTGGATAAAAAGATTCCTCGAAAAGGCCATGACGGAGTTGACCTATCAAAGTTTGGACGTGCTCTGTTTCTTTAATATTATCTATGTGGACTTGATGGCTATTCTGGCGTTTTTAGTATGGATCAAAATATTCAAGTTCATCAGTTTCAACAAGACCCTTGTGCAGTTCACAACGACTCTCAAAAGGGTTTGTAAAATGATCGAAATTGGAAGACATATCATATGTTTAATCTGTGCATTTACAGTGCTCGAAAGACCTGGCTGGCTTTAGTCTTATGTTTGGAATTGTGTTTCTGGCCTATGCCCAGTTGGGTTTACTCTTATTTGGCACCAAACATCCCGATTTTCGCAATTTCATTACCTCAATTTTGACCATGATTAGGATGATTCTCGGCGACTTTCAGTACAATCTCATTGAGCAAGCCAATAGAGTTTTGGGTCCCATTTATTTCCTCACCTACATTCTGCTTGTGTTCTTCATTTTGTTGGTAAGATTTCAAGATCCTTTAGGAAACAAATACATAAACTTTCCTCATTTTATGAATGTTTTTCTTGCTCTAGAACATGTTCCTTGCTATTATAATGGAGACCTACAATACGGTGAAGAGTGAGATCACCCATGGAACCAGCCACTTGGGCACCTATATCTATAACAAAATAATGGGTATACTCTACATTATCATTCACTGCGGCCGGAAGCGCCGACGCACCGAGCCGGCCGCTGCAGAGGAAGCCGAGGAAGAGACCAAGACCGCCCAGGAAGAACCCGAGGAGATTCACAAGAACTTGACAGAAACAGAGTAATTCCTTTTAAGATCTCTTCCTTCTCGTAATCTTAACAAAGGTCTCTATTTTCAGGGCTCGCTACTTTCAGGAAATTCCGCCAGGAGAAAATAAGGAGTTGGTTCGGTATTAATTTCTAATTACAAAACGTTTTACATACTTTTTTAACATGTACACATTACCTACCCATTTTAGTTTAACTAATCGGGTGAGCCTGCTTGAGGAAATTCTGGAGAAATTAATCACCAACATGGATGACATTCTAAAGCGCGTTGAGAAGGAGAGAACCAATAGAAAGAAATAAGACTTCTTAAAACACTGTTTTTTTTTTTAATATTTAATATTATATAGTTTTATTTAAGAATAAGAAATGTGTAAAATCTGGAAAGAATAAACTTAGCACATTGTTCCACGCCAACAATCAAATAAGCGAAAATTAATTAACTCTGGCAAACCAGAAACTAAAGTAAACCAGCAAAACCGCCAGAACCGAGCGCTAATCTCTGCCAAATCTGTGTATGCTTGGCACCCTTAACCCTCTAACGCCCCGGTGCTTCTAACACCCGACGCTTCCTTTTTCCCCATTTGGCAACAAAGGCATAGCGAAATTAAAAACACAAGCGGAAGCAGCAACCGTGAACAAAGCGACGAGCCACGTATTAAACTATGTATTTAGTTATAACCGAGCAGCAAGGATAACTACACTGGAAAATTTTATTATATACTATCAAATAAAAGAAAACAAAGGGCTGAGGAATTTTGAAAAACATAATAAAATTTAAGCAAACAAAAGAAAAAGCCTTAAAAAATTAAACTCCAATTTAATTAATTTTTAAATTGAGACATGAAAGAAACTTTTCTTACATTTTATACAATTTTAACAATTTCATTGTTTGTGTTTGCTGTGTTTCTTGTGGGAGTAAAACCCATGTGGCATCATTAGAAGCAGGTCCTGCGGAATATATCACGTTGTCACCTCAAAGCATCTGGAACGCTGTGGTTGCGGCAAACACCCGAAACGAGAAGCTTAAATGAAGTCAAAGGACGTGGGGATAGTTCAAAGGAAAACAAAATTATATTTTCTGTAAATAACAGGGTTCTCTAGTTTTTAAGTCAAGGTACATTAAATTCATTGAATGATAATTAAAATCAAACCATCTCCGGGGTAGGAGCATATCCCAATTAATTATTTAATGTCGAAAAAGTTTGACCAAAGCTCGGCTTAAGTGGTTGATGAAAAGCAGCATCCAGTCTGAGGGATTTCGTTTTGTTTGCAGCTCAAATTTGTTAAACGAACGCAGGCCACAGACATATAGTACATGTGTATAAATCTGTATAGCCGCATTTGTATGGCACGCATTGTTTCGCTTTTGTAAATACGAATTGAAAAGTTGCAATCATCGCAACGGCCAAAACAAATACACACAAAGGGTTGTCTGGGATGAGATATAAAGCATGGAGTAGACAGGTGGGAGAGGGGGTAGAACTCTTGAAGCACCAGAAGAATTACGGATGGAGAGCTCAGGAGCGATAATTACCGATATGCTTTATATCCACAAACAGTTAACAACCTTTATTCGCCAGATGAATGAATGGTAATGGCAACTCTGGCTGCAATGCGCAAATATGTTGGCCACTTATGCATTCAATGGGCTTGCAGCCGAAACAGCAATGCAATTTAACCAGCAACAAGTTTAAGCTTAAATAAAATGCTATAAGCAAATTAAATGTCTTTAAATAACTGAAAATATAAGTAAAGATAAAGATTTCTTAATAATTAATACACATTATTATAAAATCCAATAATAAAGGCATAAAACGAAATTATTATTAAAACTATCAACAGAAAAACAATATCTCTTTATACGATTTCTTTTTATCTTACCTTTTGTTGAACTAAATAAAATTGTTATAATAAACAAAGACCCCTTTTAATTTTTTTCCAAAGGCACATGCTCTTGCTTCTTCATAATACAACCAATAATTTATCAATTAATACGCTTTTATAGCCAAGGTTTTGTTTGACAAAAGAATAACAGGCAATTAAGTTAACCATAAGTTGACCACAATTAATTACCCCAAAGTCTGGCATGAAAAAAATAATTAACTATGCTGTTTTTTTAATCGCACCGAGAACTAATGAGGCATATAATGCCTATAAAGCATTTTTCGTTCATATTCAATTTAAATCACTAACGAAATTTCGCACTTTAAATAAGAACATATTCAGCCTGAAATTATGCAGCACTTTGGTTAATGCTCTTAAAGCCCTCGGCGAATGGGGTTAATTATTAACTTTATTTAAATATAAATCAAAGTATCCTCAAGAGAGAAATCAATCTGCTGATCTTTATTATGTGGATTGATTGATAAAAACGGCGATAAATAGATTTATATTAAAAAAGATTTCAAAGGCTAGTAAAATAATATTTGTGCTTGTTTTTATAATAAGTGCTTCTTTTTTTGTTGTGAATCCATATTTTTCTATATTTGTTTTGTATTATTTTTTCATTTACTTTCCTCTTGCTTTGTTAATCAACTTTTTTGCTGGTTTATCATGTTAAAACCATCGAAATTTTCATAATAATACCACATCCTCGATAATGTTTTTAAAATATTTTATTTATAATTTAATTTTTGTGTTTTAGCAATAAATAATTTCCAATGCAACAGTTTGTGCACGCTTAATACTCGCCATCTGTCGAAATAAATACGATAAATTACGCTTGTAAATAATAAAATAGAATGCCGATTTCCTTGGATCTCTCAGAGATATCCTCGATGGCGTTGGCTTAAAACTAAGGGCTTAGAACTACAGACACTGCCTAGACTAGATGGGATCCTGGAAGGGAACCTCACTTGGAGGGCTCTGATAATGAGAGCTTCTCGAACATCGGCATGGCCTTAATGAGAGTCGGTGGCGCAAACACCTCGGCATCGGGATTATGCGGAAAATCAGGATCGGCAGCAGCCACATCGTTCACCGCTATGTCGTTGGACAGATCGACGGGCACAAAGTTCTCCTCGATGCCGATATCGATATCATTGTTCAGATCGTTTTCGAAATCTCCCTCGATGTCCAGTTGGTGATCCTGATCCTGTTCTTGATCCTGATCGAATTCAGCCCACTCATCGTTGAAGGTTTCGCTCATTACAACGGGCGTTGTGGTTTCGGCGTCTTCATCATCAGAGGAATCGAATTCCTCACGCTCTTTCTCCTTCATCATCTCCATGGACTCCTTCTCCTGGTGCTCCTCTTCCAATGCCTCCTCCTTCTCCACTTCCTTTTGGACGGATGCCATCATTTCCTGCAGCTGATCCATAGTCTTCTTTTGTTCTTCAACTGACAGAGTCTCCACTATATCTTCACTGATGTCTGTGGCTTCCGATTCGGAGTCTTCAGGTGATCTGGTGGCAAGTTTGGTGGTTGTTGTAGATCTTACGGTTGTTGTTGTGGTTGTGGTAGACTGTGCAGCGTGTGTGAGTGTGTGTATGAGTTGCAGGTGCATAATGTTTGCGTGGGTGCGAAATAAATGGAATAAATTTTCAAATTAATTTATTGTGATTTATTTTAAGATCCAATCTGATTCGTTTAATTATATTCTTAATTAAAAGCAGCATGCTGATATTTTAATAAAATCATTTGTTAAATAAATTATTTTTTAGGTTGGATAATATATGAAATGTTAGGTTTTTCAAATCCATTGTTATGAAATATTATGAGTTGCATTTCGATTTGAAGATACAATGTACAGAAGATGAATTCTTTGGAATATTTTTATAAAACTATTATTAGTTAATACAAATTATTATTTCCGCTGAAACTTGTATATTTTTTAACTAAATTTAAAAAATCACACAATCGGCAGAAACTCACATTTTACGCCTCGCTTCAAATCTTCAACTGAACACTGAACTGCTGTTAACATAAAGCCAACTGTTTTATAACCTTTTAAAAAAATAATCACAAAAAGAGAGGTTCAGCTTAACAGAACTAGCTGAGTCAGTTTTGTAGGGAAGCTGCCTTTAGGGAGAGAAGCTTAGAGAGCTTAACAGAGATATTGTCTCACACTGTTAATACCCTCTCTCCCGGCTTTAGCTTCGTCTCTTTCTGCCTTATTTTGCATAACGCCTTCATTCATTATTAGCGTTTAACATTCAGTGCCCCCCACTCATGATTCACCTTCACGAATGCCCTCTCTCTCACTCCTGTTACTGGCTATGTGACGTCACTAGTTCAAGCTAGCTTTAGCTTCGTCTCTTTCTGCCTTATTTTGCATAACGCCTTCATTCATTATTAGCGTTTAACATTCAGTGCCCCCCACTCATGATTCACCTTCACGAATGCCCTCTCTCTCACTCCTGTTACTGGCTATGTGACGTCACTAGTTCAAGTCAAGTTCCCCCCGTCGATATTTGTCCAATTTCGTTTTACGCTCGTTAGCAATTTCTAAGAAATTCATATTATTAATACACATTTATTTCTGTCTGCTTGTGAACACTTAAGTATTTTGTTGTATTTTGAGGTGATATAACTCACCGGAAGAATTGAAAATGGGAAGAAATGAAACGGAGGCAGTGGGCTACACATTCTACAGATGAATGACGCTACGACTGAGTCACGATTTTTGTGATTCTTGGGAATTTCTTGAGAATTTAATTGCCTCGGAGATGATGGATAAGTTTCTGCCAGGTGACACCAAAAATTTTAATGATTTTTTGACCGCAAATAAAAATATTATTACATATTAAATGGATTCAAATTAAGTTATAGTAATTATGGGGGTATTTTTCGTTTTTATCAACCAAATAAACTTAAAATTGTATTTATTTTTTGTATATTATATTACAAACATCATCAAAACCTTTCTTACATTTAGGCATCTAAAAACTTTATAGTATATATTCTGAAAACTTTATTTAATTAAGCAAATTTAAGTAGAATCTCTTGTATCATTTCTCCCATAAATGGAATATTTGCCAAGCTTTTTGCTCCCGACATCTGCTTGCATTCAAATTGAAATGGAAATGCACAAAGTAATTTGTGAAAAGTTATCAAAAGCTCACACATTCATGAATGTGAATTTTGTGCATTTGTCTGGATATTTTTACGCTTTTTAATAGGAAAATATTAATAAAACACACAGTCGCCAGTGCCAGAGTGTGTTTGCCATTATGGCACATGCGTTTTTGCAAAGAGCTTCAATCGCCAAATTGTTTAACAGCCTTCAACGGTTTTTCAATGTTTCGATGCAGCTGGCAAAGGAGTTATCGCACACATTGCCTTCCATGGGAGTGTGTGTGTATATATATTAATATTTATAACCATGAATATTAAATTCAAATAAACGCATGAGAAGTCAACTCCCTCTTACAGCACACACCCATACTCCTCCTCCGACCCCAAAAACAGAAGCCACAACTTTCAATATCCGCGCGAGATGAAAAATAAAGTTGAACACCGAACAAAAAATTAAAATAAAAATATAACAACAGATCGAATGAAATTCGCAACTTGTGCGAATAGGTTTTTTTTTCATTTCATATTTATTTATTTTTTTTTTTTTTTTTGCTTCCGTTGCGGGCACAAAAATGTCACCGCTGGCATTATTTAAATTTAAATTTGCGTATTTAAACGTTGACATGTCACTTACAACTTTAAAGTTGTTAATAATGGCGCTTCACGCAGCATTGCAATTTTTTTTATGGTCATTTATTAATTTCCCGCTGATTTATGCGGCTCGCGGAGAGCAACAAAAAATTTATCCAACCGGCACTCGTCGATTTCGCCACAATAAATTCTCATAAATACGTCCCTTTTCCGCCCCACCTGCCACGCCCAGCACACGCCCAAGACGAGGATTTATGCGAGCTGGGCGCATGACTTTTAATAAAAATTAATTTTTATTACGGCCTAAAAGTAATTAATGGAGTTGCAGCAAAAACGCCAAGAAAAATTGTCGCGTATGATACATTCACGGGGTAACCTGTGGAACCTATTGGCAAAAAAAAAACACGAAATGAAAAGAAAGTCGGTGAAAAAAAGGTGAAGGGTTACTTTAAAGATACTTGTTTTTATATGGACTAAAATATTTATGTTATGGGTATTCATTATTAATCAAAAAATTAACTGAATGGAAATAAGTGCATTCCTTGATTGAGTTATGTGCTGAAAATTATATATCTTGTTATTATTTAATTTGAAATACAAGAGCCTCCAATAAGTAAATCATTTCATTCATTACTAAAAATATCAATTATTTCCATAATGACTTTCTAAAAATGTTAGTTTTTTACTACAATTTTCTTCCATAATAATATCAAGAGCAAATGAAAGTATTATATTAAAAAAGGAGATGTAAAATTCTCATTAACATTAAACATTGCTTTAAATTAATTATATGCCCTATAGAACAAAAACAAAAAATCAAAATAAGCCCTTAAAAAATTACTTAATTACCAGCTTAGTGGGCTTCAACTTTGTCATGATTTAACTCATAAATTTATCTGTCAATTACACAGTTTCGCAAATATATATTACTCTCATCATATTACCATTTTTTACTTATCTCCATATTTGCATAATACTTTATTACAACCGTTTTTTTTTTTAGTTTTTCCTTGTGGCCACAAACTATAATTTGCTTGCATTTTTAATTTAGATGCAATGCAATTGTAAAAAAAAAAATAAAATTACTCACAAATCCAATGAACCAATATGCATATTACATGACTGCAATGCTGATATAAAAAGGGAGCAAAATCATCTAATTGTACAATTAAACATTTTGTCGTGTTAATAAAATATTTACAATTGCGGTTGAACCAGATTATTGGCCTGACAAATTAGCAAAACTTAATTAAACAGCAAACGTTACCGAAAAAAAGTTTTAAATTAAAAATAAAATATGTAGAAACTAAAAAGCAAAAGCATTATACAAACAAAAGTATATCAAAAAATAAAAGCAAACCACAACCAAAAACAAGTCACCAATAAGATTTAATTTTATTTGCATTAGTAGGGGAAAAAACGCAGGCATTCATATATTGTACATATTTACAATTTTTTCTCTTTAGTTTTATGCAAAACTTTATTTAAAAAATATTAGAAATATCTGTATATAGGTATGTTACAAGTTCATAGAAAGTTCTCAATATACAATTCGTGTTTTGTTTTTTTTTTTTATTGGTTAGTAGAGCGCTTGCCAAGCTTTTCCTGGTTAAATGTCTTTTCGAAAAAGTTGTGTCTCTTTCTCTCGAAATTACTTTTATACCTTGGGCTCGTCGATATCGCGCACCTCATTGTCCTTAGCCTGCTTCTCCAGTGGCTCCCGGCGTCCATCCTCCTCCACCTCATCGTCGAATTCGCCCTGTCCCGCGGACTTGGCCGGCGGTGGAGCAGAAGTGGCAGGCCCCTTGGCCGGCTGGAAGCCACCATCATTGGTGTGCACACCCTCGGCCACCTCCTCGCCACTGTCCAGGGGCCTTACGTTAACGACGCGCACCTTGAACACGCTATTGGTGTTGCCGAACACGGTCTCATTGATCTCCACCTTGTGACCATCCACAACCTGGTGGGGAAATTTATTAGTTAACCATTTAAATTATTTTTTTAAATGTATAAAAATTATTTTTAAATTAAATTTAATCTTAATAATTATTACTAGACTACAATCAAATATTAAATGGCTTAAAAACTTTAGTTTTCCTTCCATTTCATGTCATACCTTTACGGTAGAAGTCGTATTTCCATCCTTGGGATTCAATGGGGCCAAAGGCAAACCAAGTGAGAAACCAGAACCAATGCCAACGCTTGAGTCATCCGAGTCATCTGCTGCTCCATCATCAGCAGAATCAGAGCCAATCACTGGCCAGAGACGGGTGCGAAGACGGCGGAAAAGGTCTAGAAAATTTAAATTTAACGTTCAATATTTTATATGAATTGTATATATTTTTAAGGATATAAAGTTAAGACATAAGCCATATAAAAACAATAATTATAACAAGATAATATTTAAATTCAACTAATTTCTTTGCTATACAATATCTTTATATCCTTTGTTAGCTAGATTCTTTCCTCTCAAAATTTAAAAAAACGTAAAAAAGTAACTCCAGATTACTGTGGGAATTGCAGCAGGTGCCCGTGGTCTAGACTCCAGACTCGTCGTGGCAATTTTCCTTGCCTTTTTATATCTACTTGAGTCTTTGCAAAAGGAGAGACATTCCATCGTTGTCGGCGGCAGCGTCGTTGTCTCATGCTAATGTATTTTTCAGTTTGAAAATCCCTAATCCGCAAACGCACTAAAAAGCGTTTTCTGTGTCGCCGCCGCCCGGTCTTCGTATTTTTCTTGTCTGCACTTTTGTAATCTCCAGCACCGGCTGCAGCCCCACTTTCGTTTCACCGGCAATATGCCTCGGTTCTTGGCCTTTTCCACTCGGTTTTTCCCTGGTCTCTTTAACCTTGTCATAAATTCTTGACCGCATTGTTGACGGACTTTGTTTTGGCCCGGTTGTTGATTGTCGTTTGTCGCCAATTCATTTGCCGACTGCATTTTAATGCGTTTAAATAGCTGCGTGAAATAGTTTACTGCTTTGAGATATTTATCTTTCAATACATATACATATATGTTTTGCCTATCTTTTTCTGCAATTTCAACACCACTTCCTTCAAAGTTTTTCTATTAATCAAAATATCTTCATCGCTTCTCCCACTTTCATTAGGAAAATCCAACAGATTTCTTAGCGCCTACCGTCTTTATGGTTTTTCCCTAGAACAGTTCTGGCTATAACAAACATAATTCGCTGACAAGAAACTTTGCTGGCAACCGCAACGCTCAACTTTCTATTTGTCTATATGCTATTTTCTACGCTTCGTTATCTCGTTGAACCCCAGACCCCTAAGAAGGAGACAGCGGAGAATAAAACAACTTTTATGCATACACAATGCCCAGGGCTTTGGGAAGTTTTTATCCTGGCCCCTCTCAAACGTATTAGGATAAGATTTATGAAGTTTCGGCTTCATCTTCGTCATCTGCAACGTCTTACGGTCTTAGTTAACCAGAAATTGGCAAGATGAGGCGCACAACTTTTCACTTTTAATGGTCAACAGACCGGTTTGACCTACTCCTACTCCAACGGATGCCTCTTCTCCTCTCTTCTTTTATAGAAATATATAGAAATAAATACAAGGAGCATAAATAAACTTTGTCTGGCTACAAGAACTTGACATAATATTTTGATAAATTGTTTTTCATTTCACTGGAAAGGCGTGGGAGTAGTCTGAAATCGAGATGGAAAAGTTTAAAAAGTCCCAAAGGACAGTTGGCTAATTGGCCTGACCCAGAGGATGTGTATTTAATTCATTTCTACCAACAAAACGGGTCAAATTCGAAGCCAATAATGCTCTTTGTATTATTTATTTTAAAGAAAAATGTAGCAATTATTTGACAATTTATTTAGAATGTATATTTTTTACTCGGGTTCTGCCTCAAACTGTTGTTTTAATAAAACATGTAATACTTTCTTGGTAATTTAATGTCCTAAAAATAAATTAGAGTCAAGGATTCATTTAATTAATTCCAAGAAAAGTTATTTAAGGTAATTACCCGCCTCAAGCCGTGTTCAAAAACCATATTACCCCGCATAAGTTTCCCAATATCAAGTATACGCAATGTGGCAATCGTTCGATCATCGTTAAGCAGAATAATAATAATGAAATTAAATTCACCCGAGACATGTAATTACGTTGCATGCATTTTTCGGGAGGAAACACTACAATACAATATTGTTTAATTAAAATATCATTAAAAATGCTCAAGCCGATTACGCCGCATATCACGCATACGCCGCATGTGCCACGCCAGCGACTACTCACCATCGAAGGAGTCGAAGAAGCCGAGATTGAAGCCCGACGGATTCGGCTGGAGGAAGGGATAACCCGAGCCCGTATCGATGACGCCGCGGAAGTTATGGAAATCCGATTCGGTCTGAGGGCGCGATGGCACGTTAATCACCTCGGCATCGTCCTGCGGATTGTTGCCAGCTGGAAAAGGGGTAGAATAAAAAAGAGAGGAAAAATAAGAAAAAGGTTTCAGTTGAAATTAAGCACTGTTTGTCATCATTAAGAGCCAAATTGGCTGGCGAAAATTGCATTAAATTAGCCAAATCAGCGGAAAAAGAAGAGCTCCTTGCGTCGACCCCTTTTTCAGAGCCTCATTAGCCGCTGATTAAGCAAGCTTTGCTTTGCATAATTATCCATTTCTTTCCATTATAAGGGGAATGTTCTTTTTTTCTGATTTCTGATATTTCGCTCTTACGTAACAACGGAAAAAAGGCTCAAGTCCCGCATGGAATAAACATTTCACATTGATTTGTATATAAATTCAGGCTGTTTCCGGAAACGGGGCCAAGGCTTTATCTGAGAACCACTAAATAACGCATCCTTCGCTAGGATTCAGGGCTGCAGGCTGCAGATAAATCCTCCTCCCTCTCAATCTTTTTCCCTCTCAATCTTTACTCCTGGCATGTTGCACTTCATAAATCCCAGCAGCTGACACTGACACCAACAACAGGCAAAACATCGCAACACAACCGTCAGACAACAAGTGGCCAGAGGGAGTGCAAATAACACAAATCAGTTGAGGGAAAAGAACTTGGACTAAGCAGATATCCTGTAAAAGACCGACTAAGAGAAATGTAACTTAAAATAATATTTTGAAATATAAATAGATCGAACTTTCTTCAAATCCATATTGATTAACGATTTATTCAGATATTTTATGGGTTATATAAAATATAAAATATTTTATTTATAAATTCCTTTCCCAAAATCCCATATACCCCTTCATTGTAAACCCTTTCCTCGTAACTAACGACGTTAAAAATAAGTCAAGCTGCGTTGACTCTCCTCTGGACATCTCGCCGGAGTAGAGTTCGCCTCGAGTTGGAACGAAATGGGAAATATGAAAAGCTTTATGTGCTGCGTGAAATTGCTTACGCAAAAGGCGAACGTATCTGCCCCCAGGGGGTCAGGGGGTCAACAGGGGGGGATCGGAACGATGACGTCTGATTCAGGGGAGCACAAAACAAATGCACTGCGGCTCCCTTTGCACATCCGCTTTTTAAGCCGATTTATGAGAAATATACACGACACACGCAATATGTTTGGGCTTCTCTACAAAAAATGTCATCACGGGGGCCAGCAAAAGCCCCACTTTCGTCCCCCTTGACAACGCACTGCGATCAAACATGAAGTGGAGCAATGAAGAAAACAAAAACAAAGACCCCAAATATACATATATAGATATATGGTGAGGCCAGAGGCGGGGCATTCAACGAAGAGGTGGGAGGTTGCAGATTGGCACACGTGAATGTCATTTACAAGTGCAAATATTTACCTTTTGGAGGTGCATATGAAAGTGGGCTACCTGCTGGCAAATATGCACCATGGATATATTTATTGGCACACAAAACGTCGACGAAATGTGATCGAATGTGAAGCTACCTGTGGAAATATTCCACAAAGTTATGTTGGACTTTTTTAGTAATTCGAACATAACTAAGGGAGCCATAGAATTAACTTAAATTATTTTAATTTACTATAATTATAACAGAACATTCAAGTAATTGTTTAGATTTTCTAACAGTATTAAAGTATTAAAGTTTATGTAAAACCAAAGTATGTCCTCAGTTGGCAAACCCTAACGTACGATCAATAAGCTTATTAAGTTTCTATAAATTTTATATTTTAGATAATTTACCTTATTTGTATTTTTAAAAATATTTATGTCATATCTTTGACTAACAAAAATGAACACAAGCCAGTCCCCCAAAGCCCAAAGAAAAAGAGACATGAAATCCCTGGGGCTACAGTAAAGTATACCTCAAGGGAAAATACAGAGACGTATATATAATTGTTTATAAAATTTCATACAGTATTTTAAAGAAAATTTAAGGAAATATACCACATTAACCCCATCTTCCAGTCAACCAACCAATCGCTCTCTTATTATTTAGGACCATTAATCAAGCGAAACGTGGAAAAGCACAGGAAATGTGAAAACATGGCAGTTTCATTAATTTTCCAATAATTAAGCCCAGACAGGGGACTACAGCTTTTCTCTTCACCTTCTCCGCCGCCATTTTTCCTGCTGCCTCTGCTGAATTATGGAATTAATAAAGCCAGTTGGCAGATTTGGTAGCCCCTCCGAAAAAAGGGACTGTGGAAATTTCTGCAATGCGCTGCGCTTTTGTTCTAAACACAACGAACATTTTTGTTGCTAATTATGTAAGGTTAACAAGCGACTGGGCGGCCAGGGGGCGTGGCACTCATACTGTATATAAATTCCTTTTTTTTTCGAGCTTACTGGAAGGCCAAAATAAAATCCCTGGCAATCGCTTGGCCTGCGTTTTATGGCGCTAATTGGCCGAGGGGCAGCAGAAGTGGGGTGTGGCTGGCTGGCTGCGTCAATTAATTAACATAATTGTACAATTTTGCATAATTTAGTGAGCAGCAATGATGATTGTGTGTGCACCAGCGGACTCCTTGGCTCCTTGCTGCTAAGAAATTGTTAAGCTCTTTAGGCACAAAGATATTTTGGTCCAGGAGAAATATCTGATATTTCTAAGGAATGCTTGAATTTAATTTAATTTAATTTAGAATTGAGCAATCTTAGGGCTTATTAATGTCCTGCCCTTAAGCTATTTAATAAATACATATTAAAAGAAGCTTTATTTCAAAGGAAAACATTACGGAAATTCGACCAAGACAATTTTGATTCAAAAATCAAATGATAATTGCAAACTGCCATGGCTATGATTCATCTCATTTCCGCTCTCATTTCACTGCGGAAAATTGCTTGAAAATATGAAATGCTTTTCGCATTTTCCCCTTAGGAGCGACCAAAATGGTAATTAAACTGCTGGCCGAAAAGTGTCGGTTTCGGCCGGGATTCCATGGCAGATTCGGGGCATTTCGGGTATGAGAGTTGCAACTGACCATCAAATTTATATTGCGGCTGTCCGGGGAAACATTTTTGAGTGGCTTCAATATGGTTTTTGGCAAAACGCACACAACCGACAGCCACACAAAATGGCAATTCGCTTTTTGGCCATCATCGATGCATGCGTTTTCAATTACTTTTGCGTTCAAATTGTTGATGAAATATGTGTAATACTCGCCCTCGTTCATTGCCGAGACAAGTTTAACCCTTTATTCGCAATTTTCCTCAATTCATTTGCAAATTTTCCGGTTTTCCAATGCAAAATTGTAAATTCAATTCGCAAAAATCTGTTTTGACGCTGCTGCAGTGGTAAAAGTTTTCTAATTAATAGAAACAGTGGCGAATAAAATGTGGGAAAAAAATTGTTGCACAAAATAAATAAAAGTTTTCCAACTTTTACCGCAGGCTACTCTCATTAAAGGCTCAATTTTTACATCCCTCAATTATTACCCTTGGCCATCTATCAATTATTTTACCATTTTCCCGCGCACAAATCAATTAAACTTTTGCTGCAAATTTTTCCCAGACTTTGTTGCGTCTCTTTTTTTTTAGTTGCATGCAATTAATGAATTTTTAATAGCCGCACTTTGGTTAATGTAAAAAGTTTCCCCCCTAATGCCGCAGGGAAAAAAGTGGGGCTTAGGCTACTTGTTGTAATTATGATTGTAGTTGCAAAAAGTTAGTTGGCTATGTAAATCTTTTGAGTTTCTTTTTTCATGGCAAACAGCTTCAGGGAATTGTAAATAAAACAGAAAGGAGTTCTTCTTTCTTTTATGTAAAATGAGGTAACTAAAGCATTTACCCTGGTCTTAAAATATATGAAATATAGACACATTTATTTATCTATTTTCCAGCTATTTTAGAACTCAAAATCTTAATTAGAAATTTTAAAATCATAAAATGGCCCTTATCCGCTGGCCCAGTATCATCAGAGATGGTCATCTACAAGAGGAGAGAAAGCCTCCGACGCCTTTGATACGCAGTGATACCAAAACCACCAAAGCACACAAATTTCAATTAGACACACAAACATGGGTTCCCATTGTGTGTGTGTGGGGATTCCTAGTCCTAGTCAGAGTCCAAGTCCAAATTCGCCTCCTGACAAACTCGATTGTATGCAATTTAGGTTAAAATGATTTCGAATCAGCTGGAAACCACTGACCAGAGACAGTCGTCGGAGGCCTGTCGAAGCCCCGTCGAAGCCTTGGCCAGTGGGAAATGGCCCAAAGGGCTGTGCGTCCCAGTGGGTGCCTTGGGATGGGTGTGGCCCGAGTGCAGACTCGTGTCACGTTCAAGAACTCTAAACAGGGGGAAAATTAGTTTGATGCCCTCCCCAAACACACACGCACTGGCACACAGAGGACACTTGAGGGAGGACATGAGGCAAATGTCAACAGCAGTCGAGCCGAAAGTGAAATCAAAGCCAGCTTTTGAGCAGCCCCTGTCCTCCAGCCCCCAGTTCGACATTCACCCACCCCTTCTTCTAACTAACGCCCCCCAATCGAGTGAAAGTGCAGACCGAAGCTTAGTTGCTGTCATTCTCCAAGTGAAATGCCATTCAATTGACCCGCTTGATGGGAATGGTGTTCGGACTCAGGACTCAGGAGGTGTGTGCGGGTGTTTAGCTATTTTGTTAGCACGCATTTACCACACTTGACGAAAACTTTTTAACTTTTACGATATGACATGGAACGCACTATTTTAGTACATTTATCACATCTGACTCTCGATATACAATACATCTCTCTTTCAAACCCAAACCCAAACCCAAATATATTTTCTTTCAGTGCAAATCACACGCACATGTTATCGCATTCTCCCAATCACATCTTAGCTCTACGACAGAAAAAAAAAAGTTTAACAAATGATGGACGTGCTGAACCCCTTCGCAAAGTGCACATATCGCTCTGGATTGAGCTTTGGAAAAACGAAAACGAAATTAGTTTAACGTCTGAGCCCACAGCTAACCGTGCTGAGCCCCAACCCGTTCTGGGGGCGGCTGTCTGTCTGTCTGCCTGTCTGCTTGCTATCAATTCTAATT